CCCCAAAACCCCAAAACCCCAAAACCCCAGGAGTTCAAAAAAGAGAATCAAATGACAAGGAATGGAAAATTAAAAAAGCTAGCGAAATAGAAATTTAAGATTATTAACAACATTAAAATAATTATAGGCTTTATAAATGTCGGTATATTCAGGCTTCACAACAAGGTAGCAGGAGACTTTTTACAATAAATTAGTTGAGAAACTTTTAGATCTGATGCAAACACGTCTTATCAAATTCTTTAAGGGTGAGCAGTTAGTCGATGATGCTAGATGGGCTAAGCAGATGAAAAAAATACACAAGTGTCTAGTAGTAATGGACAAAAGTAAATACCTTATTCCCAAGTATTCAGAGACAATTGATGGACTTGCCACTTATCTTCACATTAATTTCGTTTAGCCAGATGGAGAGGCTTAGAGCACAATGACAAGTGATGTGTCTCTAATTGTAGATAACAAGTCTGATTTTTCACAAAAAGTTACTTCTACTAAATCAAATACACTCAGCAAAATAACCGATTTTTCCGTTCCTATTCAAAAGCCTCCTCTATCATAAACAAACTATCATAAGGAAAATTTAATAAGCATTCAAGATCATCAAAATAGCAACATTCATTAGGTTTTTAACCCTTTCAAGGGTATGAACAGCCATCTGGTAGCTTCAGAAGATAAAAGGACTGCACATTAGAAAGTAAATAGTGGCAGTTTTGGTGGAACTGGTAACCTATCTTAAATATAAAATAAAAGCTAACTTGATAAGGAAAATTCATCTACAAAATCAGCTGGCATTAACCCTAATTTAGGTTTGCAAATTCAATTGAATAATAACAGCTACCAGTTAGTAGGTTCTAGTGGGGCAAAATCAGAGAACTAATATGACGCATCTCCAATTGATTAAGCCTATAGCAGTGGAAGCTAACGAACTTCTCCCAATAGCAGAAAATACGAATAAATTCAAATGTATAACATGATGAATGCCTAGTAGTAGGCTTAATATAAAATGATATAATAGCAAAAGATATCTAAGGTATCACAACATACTCCAAACTCTAATATGAGTGGTTTGATTGATGAAAATAATAATATCTTAGAAGTTCATGATGAAGAAGAAGATGAGGAAAATTATGAGTAGACTCCTGCTCTAACTAAAATCAGAAAAGCTAAATCTAGAGATAATTAATAGCTTCAAAAGTCTCTAATTGTCAAGAATAAAAATGAGGAATTCTAAGTTTAAGATCCTAGGAGTTCAAGAATGGCTAGCATGGCAATAGCTAATCAATACACCATATCAAAACGTTCCTCAGATTCTAAGACTTCTGAAAATGCATCCCGTAAGTACTCATCATAGCCAAGAGGATCCTCTCAAGTAAGATCTACCTAAGGAGAAGTCCTGCCAGAGATTATCATTAGGAATCCATAAAATAATTCTAGTAGAAGATTCCCAATGCGAAGAAAGCTATCTTCTATAAGTTCGCAATCTTCAAAGAGCTTGAGATCATTGCTGGGGTCAAGCAGATCAATAGTCAGAGATATTCCAGAAATAAATCAGATATTAAAGAAAAAGCGCAAGAAGTCCGCTAGAAGAGGCTAGTAAAATACTCTGGGATACTCAGATCATCCAGGGTATGTAGTGAGTATGAACACTAGTGGATATCAGAAACAGCTCCTTCATGGCAACTTCAAATCCAAATATCTGAAAAATGTGATCAACATTGATGAAACCTCTTCAAAGTAAAATTATGGAGTTAACCCCTAGATTTCCAGGGATCTCGAAAGCCTGAATCAAATTATGAATCAATCTGAGAATCAATTCAAAATTTAAACTAAACGTAATAAAAAGTTTAAGAAGTAGAACAAAAGTATGAACAAATAGTAAATTGTATAGTTTGCCTTTTGAGATCTCAGTTCAACAATCATATCATGAATAAATGAGTATGATCACTTCATTAAAAACTCTACATGACAGCTGATATCTTTATCGTATGTAATTATGAGAATATAATCTAGTATTTTTAAGGTTTGGTTGGTCTGAATATGAATATAGATTAGTTATATTAGCCCAATGAACATTTAATTTCAGTTAAACTTTTAATATATAAATTTGTAATTATGAGCACAAATTATTCAATGCTTCATCACTCTTTCGTGTCACCTATGCGTCCAATCAACATGACTTCGGCTGCTGTGCCCATCAATGAAAGGAGAGATTTAAGTAGCTCTCCTTACATCTAAAAGAAAAGAAATGAACCTACTAATTTCACTGTAAGTGGCCTTTATTGTCAACATATTGAATATAGTTGTAGAACAAGTATGGGAATTTAAATAATTATGATGAAGAAATAAACAGGATAATCTCTTTCAATAACATCATAAGGTAATCAGTAATTTACTGTATAAGTAATTAATAGTCTTGAGGAACAAGAGAAGAAGTATCATGATGTTCTTGAAAATGAAAAGATGCACTATTAGAAAAAGGAAAGAGCCAGTCGTGAGTTAATTGCAGACATTTCTAAAAGATTAAAGGTAATTATGAATTTTCAATCTCGAATTCTATTACCATTGAATATTACTCTCAAAATTTTATAATCACTTCATCATTATTTGCTTAAGAGATTCATCTGTTCTAATCGAAATTTTTATTTAGTAAAGTTAGTAGCGCATAACTGAGGAATCAAGAGTTGCAATTGAGTTGAAGAAGCGCCACGACCTTATGAAGAAGAAGATGGAAAAGGTAGCTAAAGACAAACAAGAGAATCAAACTTAGCTTAAGAGTCTCTACGCTCTCTTCCAACAGTAGCGCAAAGCATTGGAGGTTTCTATTCAAAAGACTAAGCGACTTGAAGATGAAAACCAAAGACTAGAATAGCATAATAAGTCACTTGAAGACAATCATAGAAATATGTAACGCAGAGTAGATCAACTTGAAGGCGAAAGAGAACAGCTGCAAAGCAAATACAAAAGAGAAAGAGAGATGCTTGAAGGTGATATTGATGATAAGAAATAGCTCATCAAAAGATATGAAGGTGAATTTAAGGAGATTAGTAACTAGAAGATAGTCATGAAGAAACAAGTAGATGAATATGAAAATAAGATCAAGAAGCTTATCATAGAGTTCGAAGAATCCTCTAAAAAGCATATCAAAGAGCTAAATGATGTACATGAATAGTACAGAGGATACAAGTCAAGTTCAATTGAGTTTGAGTAAAGAATCAATCAATACAAGTCTGACTATTAAAAAGCATGCTAGAGTGAACGAGATGCCAAGAAAGAAGTTCATAAACTTAGACTTGAAAATGATGAAGTCAAGGAAAAACTGGCTTTTATAGAGTTACGCTATCATAAACTAATCAAGAGAATGGGAGCATCTCAAGATGATTTATAAGCGATTGATGACTAGATACTGCTAGGAGTTCATTAGATAGAGGATGATGAGGCGCATATCATAGTATAGCACAAAAATAAGCAAGGCAACAAAGCAAACACTAACTAGCATCCCTTTTAAAAAGTTGTTGATCTTAAGCAAATCAAGAATGATTCAATCTAAATTGAAGACTATGAATAATTTCAGTAGGATGAGAACAGGCTCGATAGCATGGCTGATAGACGTGGGACTGGCAGTTAAGATGTGGAAAGTGTGGTACCCGTTGTGCAAAACAAGATAGTTGGCAGCTATGAGTACTATGGAGATTAGTATGAGGATAATGAAAGTGAAGGAGTAATCCCTGGCGGGTCGAGATCTTAAAATCATGGCTAAACTAGACATAAAAACGAGTCTATTGCAGTTGAGTAAAACACAAGCTATTAGAAGAAAAAGGGTTAGAGCAATAAGAAAAATAACATCATTGAAGTCTTAGATGATGAAAGACCCATTGAGTCCTATTATGACACTTCAAAGTCACAGTAATAATAGAAGTAAAATAAAAATGATCAGAGAAGAGATAGTCAAGCCTCACAATCAGGTGATCTTCTGAGTAAACTAATTGAAAACATCAATGGAAACCCTGCACTATAAAATGAATATATTAAAGGTCAATTTAAACTAGACTAGATCTAGAGTGAAGGGGATTTGCATTGCTACAAGAACCTCTTAAACTCAATGGCTGCCTTATTCTACACTAATCACCGCATGAATGATGTAACTCTATTCTTTTATATGTGGAGAGATGCTGCAATAGCTAAGCTCAAGTAAAAGTTATAAGACTCGTCCCATCAAAAGACATCTTAACAGTAATAAATTTAATCATCAAATCAGAAACAGCAGATTCAGCAACAGTAGCAACAATAGCAGCAATAGTAGCAATAGCAGCAGTAGCAAAAGAAGAAGATATAACCACCTCCAGGCATTTAAATTGATACTGAGCTTGCCAACTAGGAAGTGTTTAACAACTACAGTCACAAAAATCACGATCCAAATGAATTTTAAGACGAAGATGACAATAGCATATAGCAGTATAATGATGAGGACGATGAAGATGAAGATGAGGATGATGATGCTGCAATGGATTAAATCCTAGATAAAGATTAGATTAATGATCTCTAGATAAGGTAATTTGTAGAGGACCTTAAGCAAGTTGGGCCCTACTCCAAGCAAATACTAAATTACACCTATCCTCCCTTGCTGTATTAGAGAAGTGACGAGGACGATGATGACGAAGAAGATGAAGAGATGGAGTAAAAGTAGCAAGCCAAGTAGAAGCAGGGTTAGGTTAGAAATTTGAACATTAATGATGAAGACGACGACGATGATGAGGATGAAGGAGATGAGGACGAGGACGAAGACGAAGATGGCGAATAAGACTTTGAAAATGACTAAGACATTTAAAAGTTCATTCAGGGTGCTGGCATTAAAAACGAAGATCTCTATTAGAAACTGAAAAACGTGGTGAAGGACAAGGAAGCTTAATAATACATTGAACAGATTGATGAAGATGGCAATGTGTATCTGGTAGAGGCCGATCAAAATGAAGACGATGATGAGGATGGTGAGTATGAGTACATGCAAGGCGAGGATGAAGATGATATGGGTATGGGCATGGATATGGATATGAACTAGCAGATGATGTTAGATGGAGACATTGAGGATGAGGAGTTCCTTCTGATGATGGAACAAGAAGCTTAAAAATACAAGAAAAGGCAGGGCAGATGAATGTGAAAGGATAAATGAATGGATATGAGAGTCCTAGGTACTTCTACTTGATCTAGTTAATTTAATAGAAACAGTATGTGAGTTTCTTACATAAGCATACTTTCAAATCTGATTAGATCTTATGAATTGCAACCTATACTTTACTTTATGACAGTATAACTCAATTAATTATACAAATAAAATATATTCATACATTCATTCCAAGCATAACTAATATATTATTGAAGGGTTGTGGGGTTTTGGGGTTTTGGGGTTTTGGGG